GGGCGGGCGGGGGGCGCGGCGGCGGGGCCAGGGGTGGGGGAGTCCGCGCCGCTCGGGGCTCCGGTGGTGTCCCTCCCGCCGCGGAAGCTGGAAGACGAGTGGCGAGGACTGCTCTCCACCTCTCTGCTCCCTTCCCCCGCGGGCCGGGGGTCGGCGCCCGGCTGGGGAGGGGGCGGGCCGGACGCCTGCGATTGGCCGCGGCCGCACCTGGGGTGCCCGGCGCCGCCGCCCCCCAGCTGTTGGGAACAGCTGCTTCTCTCCCGGCGCGGCGCTGGGCCGCGGGGCTCGCGCTCTCGAGCCGGCGCTGGGGCAGGGCTGGGGACGGCCGGAGGCGGCCTTGCTCTCGGCGTCGCCTGCTCCAACCCGTCAAAGTCCTGGGGACTCGGCGCCGTCCTAGCGGGGACCCGGAGCGCTCAGACTGCGTCCGAGGAGGCAGCTGCGTCGCGTTCCAAAACGACGACGCGAGCTCTGTGCGCTCGACCGCGGTGGCGGGGCCGGCGACCTGGACGGAAGCGCTGGGGGCCCGGAGGCCTGGGGCGGTTCGTGGAGAGGCTGGTTCCCTCCCCGGCGCGGGGGGCCGGCGAGCTTGGCCAACGACGCCGAGTCTGATACTCTGGGGTCTCAGGGTCCCCAACCTGCCTTGACCCGGAAGAGCCAGTGCTGGGGAGAACCAGCGAGGCAGAGCCAGAGGGGAAACAAAAAACAACAAAACAAAACAAAACAAAACACCAACAAAAACAGAACAGGTCTAGTGTTTGGGTGTGCTGGAAAGAACCACAGCTTTAATTACTCACGGCCCGGCCAAGCTAGGTAACCGTAGACACCACCTTCTATTTCAGAGGACCATAAATTAGTACTTTAGCCCTTACAATGATCGAATTTGTGTTTCCTCCCTACTTATTCCCCCCTAACTATTTGGGGAGATTGGTACAGATTTCTCATTGTAAATCCTCTCTCTTTTTTTCTTTTCCCTAAGCAAAGGATTAATCTTATTTCCTTCTGTTTGAATTGCCAGAATGTTTAGTGACTTGACCTCAGCTGTTTTATCAGGATGCACTGTAACTGTAAAAGGTGTAATTTTTGAAATCGACTTGTTACATAACCACTGGTTTCTACCAGCAGACCTTTAAAGCATTTGTAGAAAATACAGACTTCAGAACAACCTGTGTGTGTGTGTGTGTGTGTGTATGTATAATATTATTATTATAATATTATATATATTTTTCAATATCAGCTTTTTGCAACTTCTTTTTTATCAAGAGCACATTCAATTAAGCATAAAATCCTTGTCATAGTTGAGGTTTGGATTAAGGTATTTCATGTGAGCAGGATGTTTCATCCACCACGGTTTGGAACATGATTTGCTTTTAAGTCATTTCTGTCTACCAGGAGTGTCTGAGAAAGTCCATACATAAGTTGCCCCTGGGCTGTACCATTTATTCCCTTTAAAGCAGGTCAGTATGTTAACCTATTAGGGAAACACATACTTCTGTTTCTCTTTCCAGGGCACCTTTGCAGTCAGTCCAAAAGGATGAGATACACTGCATTTGCCGAAGCTAACAGGAAGGCAAATATCCTGGTGCTTTTCACCTTGTCGAATTCTGCAGGAAGTTGGCCTCTTGAGGTCATGAGTTTCTTTAAGTGTGAACCCCCAGTGGGTGATGTGGAGAAATAAGAAATCTACAGTTGTGTTTTTTTTTTGAAAAATGTTTTAAAAATCCAGTTGAAGAAAAATAAGGTATTTTACAGGCATATGAGAGCCAGAAAGGGAAGTTGTAAATAGTATCCTTTCCTCATTGCTTAAGTAAAGTACAGGTTTAAAAGGGACTCTGTGTACTGGTATGATGAAAGGTAATTTTTAAAAGTTAGAAAAACAGGGGCGCCTGGGTGGCTCAGTTGGTTGAGCGACCGACTTCAGCTCGAGTCATGATCTCACAGGTTGTGAGTTTGAGCCCCGCATCAGGCTCTGTGCTGACAGCTCGGAGCCTGGATCCTGCTTCACATTCTGGGTCTCCCTCTCTCTCCGCCCCTCCCCTGCTCACACTCTGTCTCTCTCTCTCAAAAAGAAATAAACATTAAAAATTTTTAAACCAAAAAAACATTAAAAGTTAGAAAAACAAAGCGGGCCATGAGACAAAGGAGGCGTGTTCTTTAATAGTTAACTTCCATCTTGCAGGGTCACTGAAGAATTACTTGTACTTAGATGAGGCTCAGGCAAAACCCTCTGTGAGAGGGGAAGCTACTGACAGAAGGCTGAAAGGGAGGGGTGACTTCGGCTGTCTCAATTCTCGTCGTACCTAGATGAGGAGCCCACCACCGCAGAGGGGACTGTGATCATATCAGAGATGGAAGGTGTCTGGGATATAGCCAGCAGCTTGGATGTTCACTAAGTAAAGTAGTGAGACCTACAAGGCAATTCTGATCCCACGTTGGGATCGCTGTGTCATAGGACTCCGCTTCTGGAAATAAGACGCTTCCCTGCCATGGTCCCAGAGAAAAAAAACGCAGCCTCCCTTCCCACATCCCGTGCAGCCCCTGACTGGTGTGCTTGTAGTTTTTTCAATCGAGCAGTACATATTTGATAGCTCGGCTTGAAACTTTTGTTTGTTCTGTATGAAATGATGCCTCAGTATTCCCGATCTTGAATTGCACAGATAGATCATTAAAACATTACTGATCATCTGGTGTTACATGATTGACCGAGAACAAAGGTTAAGAAGAATAGATATTCCGGGGCTCCTGGGTGGTTCAGTCACTTGAGCATCTGACTGCGGCTCAGGTCAAGATCTGGAGGTTTTTGAGTTCGAGCCCCGCGTCGGACTCTGTGTTGACAGCTCTGAGCCTGGATCCTGCTTTGGATTCTGTGTCTCCCTCTCTCTCTGCCCCTCCCCTGCTCACCCTTTGTCTCTCTCTCTCTCTCTCTCTCTCTCTCTCTCTCTCTCTCAAAAATAAATAAACATAAAAAAAAGAAGAATAGATATTCCTTATTTTCTAAACCTATTTAAACAGAAGCCATACTTCATACGCAGGGCAGTCTGACAAAGCACCAAGTGCCCTCCACACGCAGGCACTGTGCTTGGGCTGGGCATTATTGACACTGGGTTTTGTTTTAACATCTGCCCAAAGGTGGGCACGGCTACAAGGGCCAGAACCATTCTTGGGGGGATTTGTGAACCTGAGCCATCATACCGTGTAGCCTTGGGGTCATAAAGTCTTTCTGAATTCAAACCTTCAAGGTTATTAAGTACCAAATATTTCTGTACAATTACCCATTACAAAGTCAAGTTTGAAAAACAATGCTCGAGTAGTCCTTTTGCTTTCTCAGCTGCTTTTGGCAGAGAATACTTGGATAGTCCAGACCTTGTGCAATATGATGTGTTCTTCTTTGGAAAGAAAGAACCGTAAAATACTTTAAAAGTTATAAATAGGTTCCAAGCTTGTCATATCCAAATTAGTCCATATGGATGGCCCCGAATCCTTGGTTCCTCCTCCGTGGCAAGATCGATATTATTTTATTACTTACAGTAAATGTGTCCACTTCGTTCAGACTCTTTACTTGGCTGTTGAAGGACAGAACAACACGGACCAGTTTCGCATTCGTTTACCTATTTTCTGCCCGCGCCCCCTTAAATTAAGCATGGGAATCAACTCCAGGGCCAAGGCTTAGGAAGACTTTTGAGAAAACAGAGTAATGTTTCATGAAGGTAGAGAAGCAGTGTTCTGGCTCATGAAGGCCCCTTGCCCCAAAGACAGCAATGCTCAGAGAGTTAAGTCTCCTGCATGTAGGATTGGTCTTCTGGATGTCACTGTGTTTCGTGCAAGTCAGTGAGATCCTCCAGAGTCCTACACATACAAACACTGAAGAAATATTGCTGAAGAGGGTTGGTATATTAAAGATATCTACCTGCGGGGCGCCTGGGTGGCTCAGCCGGTTAAGCGTCCGACTTCGGCTCAGGTCACGATCTCGCGGTCCGTAAGTTCGAGCCCCGCGTCGGGCTCTGGGCTGACGGCTCGGAGCCTGGAGCCTGTTTCGGATTCTGTGTCTCCCTCTCTCTCTGCCCCTCCCCCGTTCATGCTCTCTCTCTGTCTCGAAAATAAATAAACGTTAAAAAAAAAAAAAAAAAAAAAAGATATCTACCGGCAAGCTTGATGGGGGGAAATATACAGTCTTGATCAGAACTGGCCACGAACAGTGTATTTAGGCCAGACACTTGTTTTGTTTCTTTGTTCTTAAAAAACAGATATATGGCTTCAATGACATGTTTTGTTTTGGCTGATTGGAAACGTTTACCTTCTTTTGAGAGTCTGTGTGAGCATCTGATGTAAAACCAATAGGTTTTCTGTCCTTTGGAGAAGTCCCATGATCAGCCGTATTTCTGTTTCTCTGGGTGGGTCGGTAATTTTCTCTTCATAACAGATAACAAATGTGGTAATAGGTTACGCTGCTATTTTAGTGTGCAGAAGAATTGGCAGTCAGAAACGTAGTCAGTTCAGCTCACATCCACCTCTGGGCAAATTCTATTCATGCTGCATTAAGCCACATCTAAGCTGGTAAGTAAAGTGAAATGGAAATTTGTAACTGTTATTCAGGCAT